TTTTAGCTCTTTCCATTGTTTCTTTTCCCTTTGCTCTACCGTATCTTCTAAATCTAATGTTAAAAAATTTTTTTTTAACGTTATACATTTTTTTTTTTTTCGGTTTTAAACTTTCAAAAACCTACCGAACGGTACCGATGATAATTTTGGAGGAACGTATTTTTTCTCCCCTCCTTTTTTCTTTGGTTTCTCTTCTCCAGAATCATCTTCAGAACTTTCGTTGTCCTGAAAAAAAATGGAGAATGATTTATTATTACTCATTAGATTTTTTTTTTAACTCGACCATCTCGATCAAATCATACTTTTATTAACATATTGTCCGGATTGGCTTTATAATTTGTCGGATCATTTTCAGATGTTGCTCCCGTTACAGCTGCTTTAACTAATTTATCAACCTGATATTTTAATTTTTGATCTATGGGTCTTGTTTTTTCTAATACAGTTCTAATTTCTACCAATCGATCTGTAACAAAAAGCCGAAAATTTTCCATTACTCGATTCTATTTTTTTTTTAGTAAATAATTATAAGTTGTTGTCGATGCGTATTAATATTACCTATGGCTGGATCAGCTTCTATCGGTTCTCCAGTGCATTTTCTCAATACGACATATGTCAAATTAATGAGATAGCTTAATAGCATGTGATATTTAACTTCTAAAAAACTAAGACCTTTGGCTGTGGATAATTCACCTCTTTTAACTCTATCTAACATATCATCAACTAAATGTGCTACTTGAACTGCATTATCATTCATTTCTTTAAGAAGTTCCAAAGCATATGAAAAATCTTTTTGTATTAAATTATCAACATCATCAGCCTGAAACAAAAAAAAAAAAGAAGAGATATTTAAAGTTTTATTTTTAAGTTAGGTAGTTAAATTATGTGACAGAAACAAAATTTTATGTAAAAAAAAAGAAAAATGAGGGGAAATAGAGGGGAAATTTTTTGCAAGTGGGTGGTAATTTTTCCACTCCACACCACCCTTTTAAAGTCCAAGACAAGTTTTAAAAAAAAAAAATATTTTTTAAATAAAAAAAAAAAAAAGTGACAAACAAAAAAAAAAATTTATAAAAGTTTTAAAAATAAAACAAACACGTATAAATAATATAAACGTGTTTAAAAAAAGGCAATTAAAAAGAGGGAAAAAAAAATCATTTAAGACCAACCCATGAATAAAAGGCTACGTATGTGTGTACATCAAATTTAATGTTCGATTCGGAATGTTTAGCATATGGGCACACGTGATTTTTTAAAAATTTTTTTTTTTTTCCAGAAAAAAAAGGGAAAAAAACTGATTGATTGAGCTAAAAAAATGGGTAGCCTGGAGCATGGGAAACTTAATGTCAATCGATAAAATTTTTAATTTACGCTCGAGAAAAATTAAAAAACTTACCGCCACCATGATTTTATTTATATTTCAAATTATTTATAAACAATATTACAATTATTCGACTAACGTACATGGATTTATAATAAAAATATATATTTAAAACTTAAAATAAAAACTGCATGACAAGCGCCATTGGTTTTTTTCATAGAGTCTTCACTTAAAAAATATTAAAATCTTAAAGGCTGTGAAGTCATAGAATAACAAAAGGTCGTCGGTTATTTTCACGAGTAAGGACAGTTATCGAGTCCTATCCTTATAAACCCTCCTTTTTATTTTTTTTATAATTTTTTCTATTAGACATAATTATTATTATTATGTTGTCACGAATTTAACTTTATGTTGATGAGAAAAAAGCGGGAAAAATTGATTTTCTACTTGGTGAACCTTTTTCGAAAATTTTTTACACTTAATTTTCATTTGATAATAAATGGTAAAACTACCACCACTTTGATTTTTTAAATTTTTTTTTAGTACTGAAAATTTACTTTGATTCGTCATCTTTTTTGCGTTTGTCAAACCTATTACGGTTAAATAACACAAATTTCAATTTATTTAATTCAATTATTATTATTTATGGTAAAATCATAACTTTTATTATAAGGTTTAAGGTTTAAGGTTTTTTAGTTAAAAATTTTTCTTTTCAGGTATCAATTAAAAAATTATCAGAGAGAAAAATCATGATTAATAAAAATCATGATTTGAAAATTTGGAGAAAATTGTGATTTGTTTAAAGTAAACGAATTCTTATTAATGGTACGAAAACGAAATTATTATTTAAAGTATTTTTCTTACTTCTCGAATTTTTATTTAATCATATATTTTATTTTAGTTATCATCATGTGTCGAAAATAATGTTAACCTTCAGGACTCAAAGTTTGTTTTATTAAAATGTAACTTAATAATTATAAAATGAACAAAAGTGCCTCTGAAAAAGGAAAAAGGTAAGCTTGTACATGTAAGAGACAAATTTTTGTTAAACTGGAGTTAAAATTAATTTTCATTAAATACATTTCAGATAAATCAATATTTTTCAATCATGATGATGCGTCTCAAATTGATGAAAATGTTTATGCCAGTGGATAAAAAATATTTAATAGGAGGTATTGTAGTCGTTTTTTTATTAGATTTTTTAGGACTCTTTTCAAAAATTTTCGAAAAAGATTATCTCACAAATTTTAATTATCCCTACGATGTAAATGTAACCTTACTTGTTGACAAATTAGAAAAAGGTTTGATCCCTGATGTAAGGCCCATAAACACATACAATTTTGATTATGTAATTTCGAATGGAAAAAAATGTACGGATGGAAATAGACCGAGACTTGTTTACATGGTAAAATCGAGTATTGATCATTTCGATAGGAGGGAAACAATAAGGAGAACATGGGGTTTCGAAAATAGATTTTCAGATGTTAAAATTTACACTTTGTTCATATTGGGTAGTACCTCAGATAAAAATTTAATGAATATGGTCATGGGGGAGAGTGTAAAATATGGAGATATAATTCAATTAAATTTTATCGATTCGTATTATAACAATACGATAAAAACGATGAGTGGAATTAAATGGATTACTGAATTTTGTCCCAAATCGAGATTTTACTTTTTCAGCGATGATGACATGTATGTCAGTACGAAAAATGTATTAAGATTTTTAAGAAATCCTACAAAATACCCCGATTATCTTAATTTCCCCTCCCTCAAGTCCGAAAATCATAAAAGTGTTAAAAAGAAAAAGTTTGGGAATGAAATTAGGTACGTTGTAAATTATGATCTACCTGAAAATATCACACTTTATACAGGTTATGTATTTATTTCGTCTCCCCACAGGCATAAAATGGGTAAATGGTATGTTTCCCTTAAAGAATATCCATATAATTCATGGCCTCCCTACGTCACGGCAGGATCTTATATTTTGTCAAAAAATGCTCTTTTTAAATTATACTATGGTAGTTTTTACACGAAACATTTTAAATTTGACGATATATATTTGGGCATTGTGGCGCAAAAGGTTGGAATCCAATTATTTCACTCTGATAATTTTTATTTTTATAAAAAAAATTATAATTTGTATAGTTACAAGTATGTGATTGCATCTCACGGGTATGATAATGTTAAGGAATTGGAAAAGGTTTGGAATGAACAAAAAGAAGCAGGGAATGCATAGTTGAAATTAATTTCAAAATCCCACTTATTAAAATAATCATTTTATTTCCAAATAATAATAATAATAATAATTTAATTTTTTTCCGATAAAAATATTTTTTTTAAATTCTTTAAATTTACAACATGATCACTTTGGATGTGAAAGGGATGATATTTTTAATTAATGATTTTTTCAATTGTTTTTCACCCCCTTCCCCCCCACAATTTATACAAACGTTTTGTATCGAATGAAATTTGAAAATAATAATGATGATACATGATTAAAGAACTGATAAAGGGGAGCGATAATTGTTTTATTTATTGTAAATGAAATATATATATATTTTTATATTTATTTATCTAATTTAAAAAAAATTATCATTTATTTTTCTAATTTATTATTATTATTTGTTTTTGTATGAAGTAAGAAACAATTTTAATAGATAGATAGTTATTAAATTAAATTACATGAAATCATCCGAGTCGTAGCCATCGCCTTGATTCGATGTCATGTTTTCCGGTTTAAACAGCGTGCTATAACTTCGTAATTCTGCTTCTTTTTTCTTTCTCGCTTCCTCTTCTTTTTCTTTTTCTTTTTGCTTTCTAAGTAATTTTTTTCTCAATTCTCTTTCTTCTCTATCTCTCTGTTCTCTTTCGCTTCTAAAATCTGGATGTCCTTCTTTTTTAGTTTTATTTAACCTGTTGACTATTTCATTTATTCTTTCAGGTACTCTTATTCTCCTAACCTGTTTAATTAAGTAATACAAATAAGTTGTGGGGAATGAAGGACTTGTCAGTTGTTAATAATCATATTTAAAACATACTTCTTTGTCTTTAAAAAAAAAAACTTCTCCTACATCCATGCTGTCAGTCTTTTTCAGATTGCTCCACATTGTATAGACAACATCAATATCATTCATTTTATTTCCTTGAATGCTATTTGCTTTAACAAGTTGTGCAGCATCTTCAATGACTGCTTGCGGTACATCATCTATCGTTTGACCTGATTTTAATCTTAAGTAAACATGAGCAGATGAAACTTTATCAACGTGAAACCAAACATCTTCTGGCCATCCCCATTTAATCAGTTCTTCATCTAGAAAATGCAAGACAAAATTACAGATACCCAAATTAAATGATGACGTAATTGATTGATGAAATATTTAAGAGTCGATTATTCGAATCAAGAGCAATATATATATATACGCATAACTTACTTTCGTACTTGTCGAAACCCATGAAGAGCGTAAATGGTGGTGTAACCACTAAAACAATAAATGATAATAATAATTAACCAGAGACTTATAAGGACATTAAATAAAATTATAATTAAAAAACTTACCGTTGCTCGTAAAGTAATAAACCATGATGACGTAAAAAAAAAAAAAAAATAATGTTGTTAAATAAAAAAAAAAAAAACTATTCGACCACCATACCCTAATTGAACGATTAAAACGTGGAATTAAGGACACAATCAATGCGAAGGGAATATGTGATATGAAGAACGTGGGAGTAGAATAAAAATTTAAATAATTTTCGAACGTTCCGTTATTATTTTATTCATTTTAAATTATTACTTAATAAATTATTTGAAAAATTGCCAGTTACTTATTTAATTTAAAATTATATTTTTCCATTTACTTATTAATAAAAAAAGTGATTTTTTTTTTAAAAAAGAAAATATTATACGGATTCACATTTAAAAGCTATAAAAAATAGAAACGGAAAATTAAAAAAAATTTTTTCCTCCCCCTCCCCCCACCGTTAAATTCGGTTAAGAATCGTTTCAAGAATTTAGTTTTTTATTTTGTTTAAACTTTTAAATGTTTTTATCGATACTTTGGTTGCTAAAAGAAATATTTTACACATATTTCATATCTTTTCGTTCACAATAACTTCAGTTTAAATATTTTGTGAAAAAATGGTGTAAATGTTTATGGAAAACTAGAATAAATTGTTTTTTTTTGTTTTATATCAATTTTGTAAAAAAATCATTCCTTATAATTGATAAAGTTTCAAAAACAAATGCCAATAATAATAATAATAATAATAACAAAATAAAATTAAAAACAATTTTTTTAATTTGTAATATTAGAATTTTTTTTTTTATATATATATATATAAATAATTAATTTATTGATGACGTTTTAAAAATGGCTTCAGTAGCTCATTTTTTAAAAGATGCTGAAAATATAATTGATGAAATATCCAAACGAATTTCGTATGTAACATATTTATTTATTTTCATAGGTATTCATAATTAAACAAAATGGATTTATTTTTAAAATAAATTTTATTATTTTTTTTTTTTTTTTGTTACAAATTGTTATAAATTTGTTTTTTCAGACTTGCAGAAAAATATTCGGTTAAATATTATGTAAATGCAAGAATAATTCAAAAACATTTTCGTGGTTACATTGAAAGAAAACATATTAAATTGGTTAATGAAAAAGCAACATGCATACAAAAAAATTGGCGTGCATTTTTGGGAAGAAATTTATACAGGGTTCTATTAAAGGTGTCACAATTAATTTTCTTTTTCTCTCTCTCTCTTAATGTTTTTTTTTACTTCAACTTTCTCCAAAATCGTTTTAGAAAAAGTTTCACGAAATGTGTTGGGCTTATTATTATGCAATGGCAACAGTGATACAGAAAAACTGGAGAGGATATTGGACTCGTTCAGGCATTTTTAGTTTTGTTCGTTTAAGGTCTTGGCTTTCTTTTGTAGCACAACAAAATAAAAATTTCAAATGTTTGGCTCAGGTAGTACGACAAACTAAATTAAAATATTTGAATTTATTTTGAAATAATTATTTTATATAATTTTGTGTGTGTTTAGGCCAGTCAAAATAAGAATAATGCAATCGAAATGAAACAAAGAGAAGTCGAAGCCAAAGAATGGATTGTTTACATATTGTTTAAACTTCATCATTTACTTAGAACTCATCAACTTAGTGGAGTTTACAGTTTGCCCAACACGACGTAAATATTTTAATTATTATTATTATTATTACCTTTTTCCCCTAATTGTCATCAATGATAAACTTTTACAGGGAATTATCGGAGATTGAAAAAATGCTTAAGGCTTTAAAATATAGAGACTTTATGGTATTTTACAATGCTTACATGGAAGATGTCAGACAGGAAAAAGCCAAAGAATTACCTCCTTATATTTTTCAACATGTAATCATAATTTAATCAAATATCAAAATAAGGTAAGATGTACATATTTTTTTAATTTTCTTATTCCATGATTATATCAAACAGTGCAAAATGGTGTCACATTTTGAAAAAGAGTATCATGAGTATAAGAAAATGAACAAATTTGCCGGTGATTATGGGGATGGGATAAAAACAAAATTTGATATGGAGGTGAGGGAAAGAATTAGGAATAATGTCGAGGAAAAAGATGAAAGTAAATTTTGTCTATGTAATATTCAGTTTACGAATGATCAAAATTATAAAAAAAATTAAATAATTAATAAAAACTTTCATAATAATAATAAAATTTTAATTAATTTTTTTTTTTTTTTGATATTTTTAATGAAACGAGTAAAACTTTTGTCGGAAATTAAATTTTATGTAATAGGATGACCATTTATATTTCTAATATCTTGAACGATTACCTTTGGTATTATTTTGAATTCTTTTAACGATTTAACAGCACCGCTTAATTTAACAAGCATGCATTGATCTGATAGAAAATGTCTTCTTTTGCAAATATAAAACCATAATTTATCTAAAGAATTCATCTTATCCTCATCTACACTGTTAAAAGCATCAAAATTTAATGAAGATTTGTTTCGAAGAATTACATCGATCAATGAATTCCTAACAAAAAAAAATTATTTTTTTTTTTTTAAGCCCAGCTTTTTATCATTTTTTTAAAATAAACATACTTACCATTGAATATTACTTAAATTAAGCATTTTCTTTACAAGATCAGCACTATTAATGGTGATTATTGTCGTTTCTGCACTTCCTTCTTTACATATTTTACCATCGGCTGATCCGCATAAATTACCATAATCATTAATCCATAATTTTAAAGATCCTAATAAAAAGTATACATTTTAGTTAAATAAGAGTGAGTATTGCAATTAATTTTAAAAAAAAAAAAGAAACTAACCAAAAGATCCTGGTGTCACTATTCCCCATAATAATTTATCATCACAATAATGTGAAACGTCATGCAATTCAACTCTTTCTCCCCAATCTTTATTTAAAACTTTTTCCCAACTAATGTCATTCACACCTGGGTTTTTCTTCGTTTGTTCAAAATTATCATCAGGACTATTACTATTTTTTAATTGAGTATCTTCGTTTTCTATTGTTTTATATTTTTGACACCTGCCATTGTCGTCTTTATTTAAATTATAAGGCGGAATCCAATTTCCAATCATGCCTTCTCCTCTCAAAGTGCTATGATATTTATAATTGTGATTATCACTAAATACTACTTTTTCATTTACATTTCTAGAAACAATTTCGACATTTTCTCTTGGAGGATACCAATTATTCCAAAATTCAAGATTATCACTCTCATCGTCAGAGCTAGATGAGCTCATTTAAAAAAAAAAAGTAAAATTGAAAATTAAATAAAATAAAAATCCCCTATTAATAATAATGATAGTAAAACTTATTTGACCGCGGTTAAACTATTCTAAAACCACGTTTGTAACGTTTAAAACGTTAATTAATTTCGCCGGATAATTTATTCTTTATTTTCATCAATAATATTTACCAGGTACTTATTTTTAATAACAAATTTATAAAATATTTCATAATAATAATAATAATAATAATAATACGTAAAAGAAATATATTATATATTTTTTCTTATTTATTTAAATTTTCCGAATCTATAATAAGATGGATAATATCATGATCTGACATTTTTATAAATTTTTGCGTAACGCTTAATGAAATTTTATATAATTCAATTTTAAACTTAAAAATTTGTGAATGATTTCTTTTATTTGTTTCCCTACGAAATTTTGAATACTGTTATAAAATAATTTTTAAAAGAAAAATGATTTTCGGTTAAATGTCCGTAAAAAATAAATTTTTTTGTAATGTTAGCTTGCAATATAATATTCCAGGTGCAATTTTTGGCATATCGAACACTTTTTAACCTGTAAAGGAAACAACATTAAGGGAAAAAGGTTTGCTTGTGTTTTTTTTTAAAATAAAATTTTTGTTTTTAAATTTTAATTTCCGATCGTATAAAATATAAATAACGAGTTTAAACCATAGAGAACTAGAGCAAGGGTTTTTGCCTAAGGCTGAGTGTCAGTAGTCAGTAATTCTTTAGTGAGTATCATAAGGTACTTTCAAGGAAAACATTGACAATTTTTTTTTTATTAAAAAGTTTTTAAAAGTTTTTTTTTTTTTAACATATGGTTCATCAGTTTGAAAATTCTAAATTTATAATTTTTTAGTGTAATTTAAAATTTAAAATCGGGTAATTTTTTTTTTTTTTTTTTTTTTCAAAAAATTCCACGTTGTTTTGATTTCATAATAAAAAGTAATTTTATTTTTAAAACCATATGCTGTCAGGAAAAATAATTTAATTTTATTTATTACTTTTTTTTTTTTTTTTAATAATAAATGGTTCATAAAATTTTTTTTAAAGTGACGTGGATTAATAATACAATTTAATAATAATAACATATTATTATTTTAGCTTTCAAAATGCCACCACTAAGTTCTAAAGAAGTTAGACAAACTTTCATAGATTTTTTTATTAAAAAAAAACAACATCAATATGTTCATTCATCATCTACCATACCTCTTGATGATCCTACATTATTATTTGCCAATGCTGGAATGAATCAGGTTCATCTTTTTGAAATAATTCATCTACAATTTTCTTTAAAAAATTTTTATTAATCGAAAAAAAAAAAAATTAACTCGATATTTTTTCAGTTTAAGCCCATTTTTTTGGGTACAGCTGATCCAAATAGTGATATGGCAAAATGGGTAAGAGTTGTAAATACTCAAAAATGTATAAGAGCTGGAGGAAAGCACAATGATTTGGATGATGTAGGAAAAGATGTTTATCATCATACATTTTTCGAAATGTTGGGTAATTGGTCATTCGGAGACTACTTTAAGGTAGTAAAAAATTTTTATTTTTTTGTTTATTAAATAAAAATTAATTTTATTTTTCAATTAATTCAACTTTTCTTTTTTAGAAAGAAATTTGTGCTTGGGCTTGGGAATTGTTAACCACTGTCTATCATATTTCACCCGACAGACTTTATGTTACTTACTTTGGCGGTGATTCTGCATCAGGTTTAGAGCCTGATAGTGAATGTAAAAAAATTTGGATCGACTTAGGGTATGTCACTTAAAAATTTCTTAATGGTTTTATTTCATTCACAAAATAATGTCATTTAAAAATTTAGGGTGCCAGAAAGCCATGTCTTACCTGGTAATATGAAAGACAATTTTTGGGAAATGGGGGAAACAGGACCATGTGGGCCATGTTCCGAACTTCATTATGATAGAATCGGAAACAGAAATGCATCACATTTGGTAAATCAAGATGATCCGGATGTTTTGGAAATTTGGAATTTGGTATTTATTCAGTTTAACAGGTAAAAAATTGTTTTTAAATTTTATTTTTTGTAAACAGTATAACAATTTTTTTCTAAAAAATTTCATATTTTTTAATTTATAGAGAAACAGATGGAAGCTTAAAGACTCTACCTAAAAGGCATATCGATTGTGGTATGGGATTTGAACGTTTGGTTTCCGTTATTCAAAATAAAAGATCAAATTATGATACTGATATATTCACACCACTTTTTGATGCTATTCAAAAGGTTTGTAGCCTTTCTCAATTTATTTTAAAAAATTAATTACATATTAATAATGATTTTTTTTTTTTTTTTAAATTTTAGGGAACAGGCTCACCTCCTTATAAGGGTAAAGTTGGAGCTGAAGATGTCGATGGAATTGATATGGCTTATCGAGTATTAGCAGATCATGCAAGAACTTTAACTATTGCTTTAGCTGATGGCGGCCGTCCTGATAATGTTGGAAGAGGGTAAGACATAAATCAAAAAATAAATAAAAACAATAATAATTTTGTTTTAATAATAATATTTTTTTTTTCAGTTATGTACTTCGAAGAATTTTGCGTAGAGCTATTCGTTATGGTACAGAAAAGCTCAACACGAAACCTAAATTTTTTTCAAGTTTGGTTAAAACTGTGTGTGATACATTAGGAGATACTTTTTCTGAAATAAGAAGAGATCCAGACACCATAATGGAAATAATTAACGAAGAAGAAGAACAATTTTTAAAGACGCTTTCACGTGGTAGAAATCTCTTGAATAGAACTATTGCCAAAATAGGGAAATCGAAAGTTTTGCCTGGAGATGTTGCATGGAGGCTTTACGATACCTACGGTTTTCCCGTTGATTTGACTCAACTTATGGCGGAGGAAAAAGGATTATCGGTTGACATGACCGGATATGAAGAAGCAAGAAAACAAGCTCAAGTAAATTTTAATTATTTTATATTTAACTAAATTACATCTAGAAGTTAAATTACATTTTTTTTTTTTTTTTTTTTTACAACTTTTGCAGTTGCTTTCTCAAGGAAAAGAGGGAAAAGTCGATGACGGGATAGCTTTGGATGTTCACGCTATCACCGAATTACAAAATTTGAAAATTCCTCCTACTGATGATTCTCCTAAATATAATTATAAAGCTAAACAACAAGATAAAAATGCGGAATATGGTAAATGTTAATTAAATTAATTAATTTAAATTATTGTAACAAAATAAAGTTTTTTAAACAAAATGTAACTTTTCAGAATTCCAGAAATGTGAAGCCAAAATTACAGCTATACGACACAAAAAGAAATTTGTCGACAGCATTAATTCCGGAGAAAAATGTGGAATTCTTTTGGATCGCACTTTATTTTATGCAGAACAAGGAGGTCAAATATTCGATGAGGGATACATGATTAAAAAAAATGACGAAAACGTAGAATTTAGCATTTACAATGTACAAGTAAAGGCCGGTTACGTACTTCATTTTGGAACGACAGAAGGGGTTTTCAAAAAAGGAGATACTGTTGTGTTACATTTAGATACCGCTCGTCGTCGATTGGTTATGAACAACCACACGGGAACTCATATTCTTAATTTTGCATTGAGGGAAGTTTTAGGAAGTGGGTGTGAACAAAAAGGTTCTCTCGTAGCTCCCGATAGGCTTCGATTTGATTTTACCAATAAGGTAACTATTAGGATGAAATAGATCACGAACACAAAAATGTAATAATTTTCATATTAAATATATGGAAAATTGATTTTTTTGTAGAGTGCAATGACACCTGATCAAATTAAAGCAGCCGAAGATTCAGTTAAACGAGTTATTGCTAAAAACTGTGAAGTTTTTGCTAAAAACACGCCATTGGCAGTTGCCAAAACAGTAAATGGAGTTCGTGCAATGTTCGACGAACATTATCCCGACCCAGTAAGAATCGTAAGTGTAGGAGCAGCCGTCGAAGATTTGGTAGCAAATCCTAGCAGCTCTTTGGGTATGTCGGTTCCAGCAGAGTTTTGCGGTGGCACGTAAGTTGATTCACATTTAGAATAATACTTCATTTTCCGATTTATTAAAAATCGATAATAATTTTTTTTTTTTTTTCATTTAAATTTTAGTCATCTTCATCGATCGGGTCACGTTGGCGATTTCGTCATTTCCTCCGAAGAAGCCATAGCGAAAGGAATTAGACGTATCGTTGCTTTAACCGGACCGGAAGCAAGCAAAGCTTTAAAAAAAGCAGCCATTCTTGAAAATGAAGTCAATGAAATAAAACAAAAAATGAACGATTCGTCTGCTCAAAAAATGATACCGAAAAAAATTATATCACTCACCGATGATATTTCACACGCCGTCATTCCGTATTGGAAAAAAGAAGAATTGAGAAATGCCCTGAAGGTTTTGAAGAAACAATTGGACGATAAAGAAAGAGCGAATAAAGCCGCTTTAGCTGCAGGCGTCGTGGAACAAGCTAAAAAAATAATCGAAGCAAACCTTAATAAACCTTTTATCGTGGCCGAAGTCAAAGCATTTTCGAACAATAAAGCCGTGGATACGGCTCTGAAACAAGTCAAAGCATTATCGCCAAATACGGCCGCCATGTTTTTCAGCGTCGATCCGGATGCAAATAAAATATTTTATTTAGCCTCCGTGCCAAAGGTACGTTGATTAAATTTTTTAATTAAATGTTTTAAAATTTGCCACCAAGTAAAACTTTTTTATCGCCATTATAGTCTGCCAACAGTCAAGGGTTGTCAGCTGGTGATTGGGTCAATCACGTATCACCATTATTAAAAGGAAAAGGTGGTGGAAAAGCAGAATCTGCTCAAGGTTCAGGTTCGAACTTTTCCGCTTTGAATGAAGCCATGGATGCAGCAAGAAAATTTGCATCTTCTAAACTAGGAGAAGGAAGTCAAGTCGTCGTCGGGACACCTTCTTCAGGTAAATTATTTATCTCTTTTTAAGCCTTCTTCTTTTCTTTTTCTTTTTTTTCCTTTTTCAAGGTTAAATTTAATAATTTTCTTCAGGTGAAAAAGTAAAAGTTCAATCGGGAAAAACTTTGTATTCCCCCCCCAATAATTTTCAAACATATCAGTGTCTTTTGGCGGCAAAATATTCGAACACCACCTTAAATTTCCAACCGACGACTAATTTAAGTGCCTTGAAAAATTTAAAAAGTGTTGCCAACCGTTTGCCGATAATGACGGATAATGATAATTTTACTTTATCCGGTAGCAACGCCATATCCTGGTACCTTTCAAACGAAAACCTGAAAAAATGTACTCACGGTGAAAAATGTCAAATTTTAAATTGGTTGTCATTTTCCGAATCGGAAATGATTCCTCTCGTGTACAATTGGGTCCTACCCATGACGGGCATCGATTTCGATTTGAAAAATATCAGGGAAGTCATCAAACGTTCGAAAGAGGAAACTCATTCGGTTTTGAAAAAATTAAACGACATTTTGTTATTGAAAACGTTTTTGGTCGGTGAAAGGATTTCGTTGGCCGACATTTCTATTTTTTCCACTCTTTTACCATTGTATCAAATAGTTCTCGATCCTAAACAAAGGAAACAATACGTAAATGTCAATCGATGGTTTAATACAATTTCCCAACAGTCGCACGTTCGAAACGTCATCGGGAAAATTAAATTATGCGAAGTCGAACCGAGTTACGTGGACAAAAACCTTTCGGGGAAAAGTAAAAAAGAAAGCGGGGAAGGAAAACAACAGGCGAACAAACAAAACAAGGAAAAGGTAGAGTCCGGGGATGCAGAGTCGGGGATCCCCCCGCAGGAATCGAAAGAAAAAGATCCATTTGCTAATTTTCCCAAAAGTCATTTCGATTTGGACGATTTCAAAAGATTTTATTCGAATAATTCGGAAGACAAATCAATTCCTTATCTTTGGGAAAAAATTGATTTGGATAATTATTCCATTTGGTTTTCCGAATACAAATACCCGGAAGAATTGAAACAAATTTTCATGAGTTGCAATTTGATAACGGGAATGTATCAGAGGCTGGAAAAAATGAGGAAAAATTCATTCGCGTCCGTTTGTCTTTTCGGTGAAAACAACGACAGTTCGATATCCGGGATATGGATTTGGAGAGGTCAAGATTTGATATTTTCACTGAGTCCCGATTGGCAAGTTGATTACGAATCGTATTCGTGGGAAAAATTAAATCCGAATGATGAAAAAACAAAATCCCTCGTCAAACAATATTTATCTTGGACGGGATGCGATGCAAAGGGAAGAAAATTCAGTCAAGGAAAAATTTTTAAATAATTTTTTTTTTTATTGTTAATGAGATTTAAAAAAAAAAGAAAAGTATTTATGAATCAAATCGAATTTACTTTATTTAATACAAATCCATTCAATGTCGTCTATTATTATTATCATAATTTTAACGGTTTTTTCTCTGATTTTCATCGTACATTTTTCTTATGTAATTTAAAAAATTTGATAAATTTAAACCGGTTTTAGCTGATATTGCAAATACGGGATAATCTTTCACTTTCGATTCGAAATCTTTTAAATTGTCCTACGACAAAAAAAAAAAACAAAAAATTATTATTATTATTTTTGTGCGTGTGCGCATGCGCGGTTTAAACTTACTCGAGCTTCCGGTAAATCGATTTTATTTCCGATTATGACGCGTGGTCTGTGACCGAGTTCGTTGCTAAATTTTAATATTTCGTATTGTAACATTTCGTATTGTTCGATTGGATTTTGTATGGATAGATCAATGACGAACAAGAGTCCTTGACATCTTTCTGCATGTTTTAAAAATTGTATCCCTAATCCTTCATTTTTATGAGATCCTTCGACTAAACCTGGAAGATCTGCGACTGTTTGGGGAGGGGGGGGGAAACAAAAAAAAACTTTGTTAATTTTCTCTCTCTTTCTCTCGAAGATTTTTTTATGGGTTTTTATTTTAACTCACTTCCTAATTGTTCGTGATCGCTGTATTGTACGATTCCGATGTGTGGTCTTAAAGTTGTGAAAGCGTATGGTGCCACTTTCGGTCTTGCTCTCGTTACTGCTCTTAACAGTGTGCTCTTACCGGCGTTAGGTACACCGACCTGAAAAAGAAACGTTAATCATTATTGTATCTCTTGAGCCGACTTACAAAAATATGGCGGTCATCAGACTTACCAAACCGAAATGCGCCATTGTTTTCATTTCGAGCGTATATTTAAAATTTTCTCCATCGGCTCCCAATTCGGCAACTTGTGGGCTTTGCATTGTTGACGATGCAAAATAATGATTTCCGTGTCCCCCCGATCCTCCTCTTGCCGCTATAAACATTGCATTTTCTTCGTCTAAATCTCCTACTATTATACCATTGCTATTTCTTATAACGGTTCCCACGGGCACCTGGATAAGGTATCAGTTCGTTACATGATTTTAAATGGTTTTTCTTACATGAATAATCAAATTCTCACCGTCACGAATTCGTGTTTGGCATTTTTTCCAAAACAATCTTTATTGAAACCTCTTTCACCGTTTTGAGCTTTTATAACTTTTGGTATCTTACTTAAATCTTTGATTTCCGAAGATGCCTACGGTATTCATTTCAAGTATTACTTAAACAGAATAAACTTTACTTAAACTAAAAACAGAAGAAATAAATACAAACTTTGAATATGACGTGACCACCATGACCGCCATCTCCTCCATCGGGTCCTGCTTTTTCATTCGCCCAAATTTGTAAAAATGATATGCAACCGTCACCACCTTTCCCTCCGAAGGTTTCAACGCTACAATAATCCAAAAAATATTTATCCTACAAAGGAAAAAAAAAAAAAACCTTTTAGCCCATTATTTTAATTGACAACGTAAAAAAATGAAAGAAAGAAAGAATTAAAACGGTTTTTACCGTGCTTGTAACTCCTTTAGGTTTTAGGGGTCTCACAGCAACGGCTACCTGACTATCATTATTTTGTCTGGAATAATTTCTTATGATAGGAGAAGACGATGAATAAAAACTTTTTTTACATGCCAATCTCGTAATTTTTATTATTTTTATCATTTTATTATACCACCGTCAAACTTAACTGAAATCGAAAGAAAAAAAAAATTGTTTTTTTTTGTTTTCATCCGACAAAAACGTTCGTTGCACATTCTAAAGCAGGACCGATTAATTTTGAATGAATTTTAATGGCGTGTTCTCTAAATAAAGGTTTATCAATTGATTTATACGTTATTCTGTAACATTTACTAAACCAATTATTTTTTTCCGATTTATATTCGCTTATTAATTTGACATTTTCAATTATTTCCCAACCGATTTTCCAAAACGTTTCGTATATTTTCTCAACGGAATATTTGTCTTCTTCCCCGTATCTTAACGTGATGTCGAATTCGTACGAATTTGGAAAAAGTATCAATTGCCTTAACGTAGGTTTTTCTTCTTCCACGACGATAACCTTATTCCCTTCGCTCCAAATTTCTCTCCAGGTTTTAATTTTAAATAAAATTTCGCACGTTTTATCCACATCCATGATACACATTTCATAATTTTTTTTATTTCCTTCTAATTCGTATAAGATTGCTGGAATGAATAACTCATTCGTTTTTTCAAATATAACGGTCGTTTCTGATTTTAATGACAAATCATTTCCCTCACAGTAGTTCCGACATATTTGTTTTGTTTTCCCAATGGACATTACAAACTCTTCTTTAAATATTTTTAATAACCTTTCAAAGTAGGTTTTTATTAATTTTATAATATCTTTTCCAACCACTACAAATTTAAATTTAATCGGTGGCATTTTAATGAAATCCTTTGACAATTCATTTATAAAATACATGAGTGGAAAGAAAATTATTTTATTGTCGAGATCACAATCGTTACAAAGTTTATTAATTAAATTTAAAATATCCATAATATTCGGATAAAATAATATTTCATTTTGATTCATCGAGTCTTTTTTTTCCAAATCGTAAGTAGGTAATTTATTTAATTGTTTAAAAATATCATCCGATGAGAAAGTAATAAAATTCGAATGAGTCGATTCCACAAATTTTTCAATATTTTCAAATAGAATATTTTTTAAATATGTAAAAGGTGAATTTTCGTTTTTCAACGGATTGTTAGCATACATTTCCGACAAAAAATACGAAACGCTAATATTTTCCTTTAAAGGAACTGAATTTAATTTATCCGATATCGTTTTGTCAGTTATAATTTCGTATGGTAATTTTTTTTTTATAAAATAATAAACCAAAGCTCCGTTTAAATTAAATTTAACATCTTGACTTCTGTAGCCAATGCAAGAATATTCTTTGAAATTGTTTCTGTTGAAAGGTTCGACTTTAATTAATACAAAACCTCCATGGGCAGAACATTCTGTTATTTGCCATGAATCACTCCATTTTCTCTGTGGCGATTCGATTGGGATTCCACCCTGACCTTTGCATAATGAAATTATGACAAAACCATCATTTTCAATTATTTTGCTAGAACTTGAAAAAAAATTTTTTAACAATTCTCTATTTAAATGTATTTTCATTTTACCTCCGATATGAGGAAAATTAAAAATAATTTTAGAAAATTTTTTATATTTAATATTTTCATTTTCATGTAATTTTGTAGCATCAACATTAAAATATATCGAAACATCTGAAATCAAATTAAATGTTTTATTAATAGATAATTTTTAATAGTTTTAAATTCACTTTTTTTTTAAATTAATGTAAATGCTACAAAATTTTTAACCTATTGAACTGAATAAAATTTTAATAATTAAAAAAAAAAACTTACTTTGAGACTTTAAATAATTAATATTATCTTGTTGCTGATTGTATGAAATATTATTTTCAAAACAAGTAGCCGTTAAAAATATTGGAAGTTTGTGTTTTAATAAATTAAGAGAAAAACTAAAATTTCCCTCTCCAACCAATAGTACAGTATCTCCTTTTGAAAACAAATCAAGTTTCATATTATTTATTTTATTCTAAAAAAAAAAAAAAGTAAAAAATTTAGTCGAAAAGAAATATTTTGATAAAAATGATCAAATAAAGAATTTTTTAATTTTTGAAATTTAAAATTGATTGCCAACATTATTCATTTTTTTTTTTTTTTTTAGAGTAAATGGTTGGTAAAATAAGTGATGAATAAAAACAAACAATCTTTTTTTCTTCCTCGTGTCAAACAAAATAATCAAACTTATGAATATTTAGGTAAACCATCACTTAATAGATTGCATTTTGAATGATCAATAAAAAAATATCAAAAAAAAAAATTAATCAATTAGGTTCAGATGGTCAACCACTTGAATCTAGGTACAATGCTTACAAAGACAAATGTGCTGAATTTAAAATGAAAGCGATTAGATATAAAAAAGAAAATATAAATTTAAAAACTTCTTTAGTACATCACACTGTAATCGGTTTTGAAAATTCCGATAAAATCGAAGAAGATATAATTAATGAAAGAAATGAACATTTGGAATTTTATAAAAAAATTTATAATGTAACAAATTTTAATCAGCCCTCAGAGTGCATGTATGAAAATTCAGATGGTTTGAATAAAAGAATAAGAATCATAAGAGAATTAAATGAAGTAAATTTTAATTTAGGTCATCGTTTATTTATTCTTTTTTTAAAAAAATTTCATAAGTAATAATTTTTTAATTTCTAGCCTCTACCATCACAAACGTTTTCTGATAACTTTGATAAAAAAACTCATTTATGGTTTACAAGGTATTGCAGCCTTGCAAGATTTATACAAGCTGCTAGAATGATTATTATTTTAAACAGATTAAAAAAGAATTTAAATATTCTTAGACATTTAAAACCGGGAGATATAGCTAAATATGAATTATAAAAAAAAATTAATTGAATAATACCCACAATTGGGGTATCGCCCCGATACGAATATTTTACCCTCATGTGAATGATATTTAAAATGTTATTTAAACGTAAACACTAATAAATATTTTACGTTCATTATTAAATGTTTAAATTTATGGCGAAATTAAAAATATGTGCGTTTAGCCCCTTTTTGAAATGTACGCAATTATACTTAGGTTTTAAGAGTGATAAAAATTAAAAAATTAATTAATAAAGCCTAATTACCTAAATAAAATGTTTGAAAGTTTAGCATTTGATATTTAAAATTTTTTAATTTTTAATAAATTATAATGCTTTTAAAATTTAAACAGGTTAGTTTGTTTTTTTTCTAAAAAGCTTAAGAAACTTTCGTGACTCAAAACACGTTGTATTGCAAATTTAAAACTTTTCAAATAAAGTTCGTCTTGTTGCATTTGCTTGAAAAAAGACTGTTCAAAATGCTTTTGGTGTAATTTTAATTTCTTTTTATTTTTACTAATAATTACTTAAATTTTACTAATCGTTTAAACATTACTAAAAAATTTTTTATACTTTACACTAATTACAGAGTTTGTTTTAACTTTTATACCTATTAATTTTAATACATTTGATAATTTTTGTTTAACCGGTATTTAAGTTGTTTAAAACCAAGTTATCATGTTATTTATTTTTTAATTAAGTAAAGAGAATAAATAATTATAAAATTTATTCTTTTAATATTTCTTTTTAAAAAAATATTTTACGGGTTGCAGTTTTTTATAAATTTCTCATACGTACAATTTTAAAATAATTGTAATAAAATTTTGTAAATTACAATGTGCTGACAAGAAAAATTCGGACAGGAAATACAAAACATTTTTAAATTCATTTTTGTTAATTAAATAATAATTATCAAATTGTATAAGGATGGCTACTCCAGAAATGATTGACCAAATAACAGGAGAGCTTATTAGAGCATTAGAAATTACTATGAATCCTGTCGCAGAACAATCTGCTAGACAGGAAGCATATACTGCATATGAAAATTTTAAGGTAATTTACTGAATTTATTTTACAATTTGAATTATTTTTTACTTTTAACTCTGTTCATTAATTAAAAAAAATTTTTTTTTACTTCAGGATAATTCTCCTTATGCACCCCAAGTTGGTTTGTATTTAGTTCAACTAAACACTCCTCATGGGTACATTGTGCATTTTGGTTTACAACTAATGGAGCATTGCGTTAAATTCAGATGGAATCAAATATCGCAACCTGAAAAAATCTTTATTAAGGTTATTGCAGAAAAATTTTTGTCAAATAGTTTCAAATTATAATTATTTTATTGTTAAAAATTATTTATTTTACAGGAAAACACAATGAGGCTCTTGATGGATGGAAAACAAAAAGAAACATATGTAAAAGATGGTCTTTCTAGAATAATTGTTGAAATGATTAAAAGGGAATGGCCACAGCAATGGCCTTCATTATTGACTGAACTAAATGTTGCTAGTTTACAAGGACCAACTCAATCTGAAATTGTTTTGTTAATTTTTTTAAGACTGTGTGAAGATGTTGCAGTTTTACAAGTTAGCACCAGCCTTTAAAAAAAAATTTTTTTTTTAACATAATAATAAAAACTAGCAGCTTTTTTAATTTTAAAATTATTATTTTTCAGACTTTAGAATCTACTCAAAGAAGAAGAGATATTTATCAAGCTTTAACTACCAACATGCAAGATATATTTTCTTTTTTAATACAAATAATTACTTGCCATATTGATTTATTTAAATCAATCGGAAACTTAGAGGCTGGGAATCAGCATTTTAGAGTTGTTCAAGTAAATAAAATTTATTTTAAACTATACAAAAGTATAAAAAATTTTTTAAAAATTTCTTTTTTTTTAAATAGAATTTATAACTTTTTGTAGACTGGTTTGACAACTTTATCCAGTTTCTTAGAATGGGCAAGTTATACACATTTCACAAATAATGATAATGCTTTACTTAAAATACTTTGTGCTCTTTTAGAAGATGAGCATTTTCAAATTAATGCTGTCGATTGTTTACTTCAAGTCGTTTCAAGGAAAGGAAATCCTGAAGAAAAAAAATTTTTTATCGAATGGTTCGATCTTAAAGTTCTTCAATTTATGTTGGATGCTGCCAATAAAGTTAGCACAAAAAGTTTAAACGAAAACAATTATTTATTTTTAAAAAAACTTATTCAGGTAGGAATTTTATTAATTTTATAAGTGTAGCATGAACACTTCTTCATTTTAAGCTTTAACCTATTTAAACATTTTACTTAGGCTGAACTCTTTAATATTACTTTCATTACTCTAAAGTTGATTATGCTATTTATAATAATATACCTTTTGATTTTATTACATTTTACTATTTAGGTATTAACTGGATTAGGAACTTATTTTACTGCATTATGCGGAAAAGAAGATTTTGTTTCATTTACTCGTTCAGAATATTTAAATACTTACCTTAGTAAGCATTAAACAGTTTTATTTTTTCCTATAGCTCAAGAACTTTTTTTTTGTATTTTTAATAATAATTAAAATTTTAATTTAAAATTATATGATTTGTGTAAAAAAGTCTAAAGGGATAAGGAATTAGATTGTATTCGTTTTTGATGAATTTTAGATATAATGCTGACATTTTTTCGACATCCAAGTTTAACCATCATCAGTTACACAATTTCAACTTGGTCTAGTTTTTTTAAAAATCCAGTCATAAGTCAAGATCCTGTTTTTAAAAAGTATATTCCAGAATTATTCGAGACTGCTGCTCCGAAAATAATAAGGGTAATAATAAAATTGTGATGTTGATAAAAGCAAAATATTTTATTTTAAATACTTAAAGTAAGCAATGTGAAAAAATTTGAGAAAGAGTGAAGAATTATTTACAGAAATAATTTTTTTTCAGGTATTTTACCCAACTTCTAGAAATCCAATTAATGATCAGGACACTACGGCTCTTCTTGATTTCGACAGTGAGGAAGAATTTAATGCTTTTTTTTTCAAAACCAGAACTGATCTTTTAGAAATATTTAGAAAAGCAACGGATGTAAGTAATATTAAGTAAAGTGAACCTTTTTTTAAATTTTACTCATTTTACTTTCTTTTTTTTTGTTTTAGATTGCACCTTTTGTTACTTTTTCATATGTGGAAAAATGGTTTCGATCTGTTTTGCAAAAATCTGTCATTCAACTTTCTTCTGATAAAACAAATTTTTGTACATACACATCTCCTTTATATTTGCAATGGGATGGATTAGTTAATGTAAAACAAATTTTTTTTTTTTTTTTTTTAAATGAGATAGAATATTTATTTATGAATTAAGACATTTTTTTTTTTTATTTTAGACGTTGGATCGGGTTTTAAATCGTTTAGTACATATTGAAAGTCATTCACGACCGAGCGTTTTCTCTGGTTTGGAACTCTTGGAACTTTGTTTAAATTTCAATCCACTGGATCCCCTTATATTGTCTGAATTATTATCTTGCATATCTGCATTATTTGTTTTTCTTTCTATGGCAACGGCAGAACAAAGCGTTAGCATTTTACCTAGGTTATACATTTACTTATTATGGAATAACTTTTTGAATTCATTAATATATTCAAATAGTAACGTATAATTTTTTATTATTTAGGGTTTTAGATAAAATTTTTGCTGCATCCGTTTTCTTACTACCGGGACAAACGATTGAAAATCGTTCTCGGGCGGTGAAAAACGTGAGAAGGCACGCGGGTGCTTTATTAGTCAAAATCGGTCAGAGGTATCCGCTTTTATTATTACCATTGTTTGATCAAATAAATACCACGGTTCAAGCAATCATTAGGGATCCACAACTCTCCAAGATGGAACAAGTAACCATTCAAGAAGCACTTCTTCTCATATGTAATCATTTTTACGATTACAATAAACAATCTCAATTTGTTGGGGAACTCATGAAACCCGGGATAGATATGTGGTTTGAAATGGAGAATGCTTTCAGGTAAATTTTTTTCAACTTTCCTCACACATAAATTATATAATTTGCACTTATTTTAAACAAATTTGTAAATTACAGATCGGCTTCTGATTTTATGGCTTTGGTCGGTCTGGATAAACCTCCGGTAGAGCCTAGTCAAGAAGATATAAATGGGAAAAATCGATCTCACCTACTGTTTTGTCTTCATTTATTTTTTTCGGTTTTGCTCAGGTGAAAAGAGTAAATAAATTTTTTTTTGGATTAAAATCAAAATGGAGTCGCATTATTTTATGAAATTTCAGGAGTACGTGGCCTGAAGATCCAGATCGTGCTGCTAGGGGTGGATTTGTCGTCGATAGAACAAGCACCGGAAATCCGATATACAGAAATCCTGCGACGCCACATATTATACCAATTTTACCAAATGTTTTGTCTTTGGTCAAAGTTTTGAATGCATTATGGGCACCTGATACTTTGTCGCGTATATCCGAGGTAAGATTTCCTCTCGATTTCGCACCCAAGCAAACTCTTTCATTTTTACTTTATGTATTTTTATTTTAGGGTTATAAAGATGCTTTTCAAATGTCGGAAAATGAAAAGGCTAATCTTTTGAGTTTGGTTCCTCAAAGCAACGTTCAATCGGATCAACTGGACGCGGGAATTAAAGTTCAAAGTCCATTGGATAGAATGCAACAATTTTTAGAAACCGTACATTCGAATTCGTACCTTTTTTTAGGAACCATCGGTCCGAGTTTAGGAAAAGATTTTTATCAAATCCCTCAATTGGGACTAGCTTTAATAAATAGTTTGTTCAGTAATTTAGAGGTGAATATCGTTCATGTGGAATTTATATCATCCTCACAATAATGATAATAAATCATTTTTTTTTTTTTTTTTTTTTTTTTGTAGTTTGTTCCCGATTTTAAATTGAGAGCCGTGATAAGAACATTTTTTAAAAGTTTTATACCGTCGTGTCCGAAAGTGTGTTACAAAGACGTCCTACTTCCCGTTCTCAGTATTTTTATGCCTTACAGTAAGTGTTGTAGAATAAATAAAAAAAATTATTCGATTTCTCTCAATTTTAAGCCAAATTTTTTTTGTAGTGCTAACCAGGTTAACAAAAAAATGGGAACACATTTCGCAATTACGACAGGAATCTACGAATTCGGAAGAAAGTTCCGATGCACAGGAAGTGGTAGATGAAAAGCTCACTCACATTATCACAAAAGAATATTCCGACGTGATAAACATATGCTTGGTCGGTGGAAATAGCGACAGCGTTTTAGACAGTGATGCCATGGAACAGGATGACTTGACGGAATCCTCGGGTCAAAGGTTACAAACAATATCGGTTTAATATGTCGTCGCCATTGATTACCTTAAAATAAATTTTTTTTTTTTTTGTTAATTTTTTAGAAACGTAAATCAAGCTTTTGCGGAAACCGTTAGCGAGTTGGGTTTGATGCTCATTCGAAATGAAAGTACTCAACACGTAATTATCATCACTCTCTTAAGGTTCGTACAAAATCAATTTTTTTTTTCAGGCATTTTCCAAAAATTTACCGCTTTTGAGAATTGTGTTAACGAATGTTTTTTATTTTAAAGATTTATTTCTTGGAGTGACGGTTGTGCTATTTACAAAGCTCCCGTTTTACTTCATTGCGTTTTACGTCAACTTTCAAACGATGGAATTTTAAACGAAGAAATTGCAAATCACGTCATGACGACCGTTTTGCAAGCTTTGCAAATTCAAGGTCATCAGGAAGCCATGCAAGGATTGTTATTGACTTTAGGTTAGAATATTTATTTTATATTTAAAAATAAAATGCAAAATTTATTAATTTTGAAAATGATTTTATTAAATTTTTTTTTTTTCAGGTGCTCAACTTTACGAATTACTCAGACCGAAATTTCCCTCAATAGTCAAGATATTAATGCAAATTCCAAATGTGAATCAACAGGATTTACAAAAATTTGATGAGAAAATAATTTTATCAAGTCAAAATTTCAAAACGAGTTACAAATTAGATAAATCAACGAAAGATCTTTTTAAAAAGATTACACATCCGGTATGTTTTGTTCGTTTTTCTTTTTTTTTTTTTTTTTTTTTTTTTGGTGTCCTACAGATTATTTTAATTGTTTTTATTTTTTTTTTTTTCTAGCTCATTGGGCGAAATATCAGTCAGTTGTTTAAAAAAGAAATTAAAATAATGGATTTGCCAAAATTAAATTTACCAAAAAAAGGAACTAAAGAAAAAGTGGATTTTAATTACGGTCAGGAATTAAATAAATTGCTGTCATAAAAGCAAATCAAATTTATATTTTAATTCTTTTTACCTAAGGATTTATGAAAATTTATTATTATTTTCGTCGACCGAAATTAAATTTTGGATATTTTTAGAAATTATTTTGTGTAAATAAGGATTGAAAGGAAGGAAATAAATTGCCAAAAAAAAAAAATAATCAAAAAAATGAAATTTCAATTTTTATATTTTAAAGTAAAATATAAATTATAAATTGAATGCTTTAAAAGAATAATTACATTTAAAAACTAAGCAAACATTTAAAATTTTTTTATTACCTTCATTATTTATTAACGACATCAAAAGTTTTTTTTTTTTTTCACTTAATAA